AATATAATAAGCGAGTTAAAAAAAGAATTTTTTGGCATTATATCACGGTTTCTGTTGTGTAATATAACAACAAAAGTTGTGTTTTTCTAATGTTACTTAATTGCTAAAAAAGACTAATTACTAGCTTTTTCTTATTAATTCGTGAAATTTCTCCCATGTGATCTTAATAATTTTCACTGATTTGTATACGGATCACGAATTAAAGATATAATGTATATCATCGAGTCATCAAGTTTTCCATAAAAAGAACGCACTTAATCCATCGTTTAAAGGCTTAACTTTTTTTAATTGTTATCAAATAAAAACGAATCGATGTTAAATTTATTGCTCACACAAAATTCAATTAATAGCTTTACTAAAATGTCTAAACAAAAAAAATTTAGCGGCATCCGTACAAGAAGACGTTCAAACAATTTAACTATTTCATTTTTTGGAAATATTATGATTTTAAAAATGTTCTCAAAGAATCAAATAAACGAATGGAATTAGAACTCACTACAATTACATTACAGCATTCCAATAAAAAAACAAACTACAATTAATCTCAAGCAAGTAACTTACAACAAAATAGACGAGAGTTTAGAAGCCAAAAAAGAAATGATTGAATCCTTTATAACCAGAAACAATAATGTAGAAAAAAAATCCTTTGAAATGAAAAACATGACTTTAGAATTTTCTAAAACCTTCTCATTTTCCATTATCAGAAATATGTAAGCTTTTTTTATATGTGAATTATAAAATATAAATTTAATAATCATCGTGAAATATAAGAACAATTGTGGTTAATTCATTTTGTTATCATGTGACTTAATACTGTGTAGTTACAGTATGTATAATATAATTTTTTCAGTATGTAATAATATTTTAATAAATAAATATACATATACTGTACGTATAAATTACACGTATATAATTATATAAAAGGGGAAGTAAAAATTGGTATAGTAGTAATAAGTTCAAACAGGCTACTTACGCCTAAGTTTTTTTTAATAACTTCATAGTTAAAATCATTAGCAATTATAGATAATACCCGTCGACGCCTATCTATACCGCATTTATTAATTTCCAAAGAATTGTGAAAAGAATTCCAAAAAGCATTCATAGAGGAATATAAGGGAACTGATGTAACAAATCCAAGATCGTATAATGTAGACAAAGAACTTCTATCACTATCCGGAGTAATGGACCGAGACCAAAACTCGAACTATAAAAATCGATTCACATCAATTAAGTATACATATAAATTGTAAAATTTATTAAAACGGCTACTTACTTTTGACTGATTTTTTTCATATTGGTAATATCAGAACAACCAACATTTTTTAGCTTTGCTTTCCAGGCTCGAAATTCCTGATCTCCAATTTCATATTCTATTGGGTAGATTAGCTGCAGGGCCGACCTTAATTTAATAATTGTATTTGGTTGTTCTAACCAATTGCAAAAAAATTGATACCAATTTATATTCGCCATTATACGAAGTTTAAGGTGGTAATTGTAAATATTAGTCATTATTTCTTTGTTATTCCATTCATTCAAAGTACAACACGGGATTTGAGCTGCTTGTATAAGGTTTTTTGTATATTGATTAGTTAATCCAAAAAGTTGATTTCTATTATATTGCCGTAGAATTTCAATTTTTGACCAAACTAAATCCGGATTTTGTTCAATAAAGTCTATACATGCATTGCATTCGTAGTAAATTGTTAATCTGCAGTGATTTTTATCAATTTCTTGAAAAAACAAAGCCTGACTTTTATTATATTGATATATGAAGGCTGATTTAAATCTGGGGCCTGCTAAATTAGTTGTAATTTCATTAGAGCCAATTCTTACTATCCAAATTCGAAGGATCCCAAGTTGAAAATTATAAGGGCGAAAGGGTAAATCTGATAATAATTCATCTGTAATAATTGTTTTATCAAATCCTAGAACTTCTGGACCTGAAAATTTTGTCTTGGTTTTGAAAAGTTGATGATATACAGAAGAAATAGCTACTGTTGTCGTTTCGCATATATCACTTTGAATCTCACTACATTTACAAATATACCCGGGGCATGAACCAAAAGCAAAATTAGATTGAACTACTTCAGTAATAAATTCACATGCTTTTAATATGACTAATGTTTTGAAATATAATCGAATAGGGTATAGCTAGATTATTTCATTCGCTTTATCTATGGGCCGGGGAAGCCACCAATTATGGCAAAAAGGCCCAAAATGCAAGCCTTCATCCCAAATACCACAAGAAAGTAATAAAATTGTATATTTTTTGTATTTGGGCATGTAAAAAAAAAATGTCTAGTGAACTTTAGTAGATTCTAATACACGTTCAAAACCTTTAAATTAATTATCCCCGCACTTTAATATTAAAATTCACTGATCTGCATGCGGATCACGAATTAATTATTAAAACTGATTTTTATATAAATGATATCTTTAACCCGGTTTTTATATTAATAGGCAGTTCGAAATTATAGTTAGTACTAATTCACGTGATTAAGACAATTGTAAAATAATATTCATAAAGTAACCTGAATATTATTTATATTATCTTTAAATTATTTATTTTGTGGTATTATGCCACGAGATGATAGCCATTGTAACAATTAGATATTATTATTTTTTTTAACATTCTATCTCTGATCTGCTATTATTCACAACGTATAAAATTTATTATAAATTCGGTAAACTATTAATTTATTTTAATGCATTGTACCACAAAGAACAAAGCGCGTTTGAATACGCATATGTACTAAGCGCTGCGCGATAATGCACAACATTTACAAAAATTTTGTCTTGAGAATTTTTTTTAGAATAAAAAATTACAAGATATATTTTAATTATTAAAACCGGTTAATGATTATTACTGAAATTAGTTATACAGTAAATAAAAAAGTTTTTTTTTTGTTATGATAAGTAATTAATATTTTTATTATGCAAAAAAATAAATTCGTAATCTCTCTTATAATTCACTTAAAAGTATAAAGCGTCTGAATACACATACATATGTACTAAGCCTCAAAGTGCTGCACATTTGCGAAAAATCAGATGTAAAAAAAATTTTTTTTTTTTTTTTTTGAATAAACAAAATTGCATTGCAGGAAATACAGAATCATAAAGAACAAAGCTTATTAAAGGAGAAATTACACATCGGGGCCCAAATTTGAAAATAATTATGAATAAGGGCCCAAGTTAAAAATTATTATGTATAGG